AAACTAAACGTATTTGAGAATTTCTGACTAGACTTATAGAAAACCTATTTTAATGTACATCATCAACACAATCATCCAGTCTTATGACTATTTTGAATAACATTCTTCAAAATGTATACTAAAGTAGTCTTAAATATATCCTGAATTTCCATAGAAAGTTTTAATATATATACTTAGTTGCCTTTTTGAATTTGGATACCCATTTCTTCATTAATCTTTTTTAACTATATGTTTGATAAAAAATAAAATAAAATTGTACTTTTAATTTGCTATCATCTCAGTCATTGTGAAAAAGGGTTTAATTACATGTTTAGATTAATAACTGGAATTGAATTAATTGGTTAAATACAACTTGCCATCAGAAATTATTAAAAAGATGTGACAAGAAGGCAGATTTCATCAATATTGGATTCATGTAACACGTTAAAACAAAAATAAAAACATGTACTATACTTATACCACAAGGAAATTAAAACATATTTAACTTCCTTATGGTATAACCTTATTTTCACCTTCTATGTTGTCTAGAATCCAAAAGTTTATTTTCGTGTAAATGTTTTAAATTCCACTTTTTAAAAAGTACTAGATAGCTTAAATGAAATAACAGAAATTACAGCCTCTGCACATGCAGATCTATGAGGTACTGATTAAACCAGGCTAAATACGAATACACTTCACACATTTCAGATTTTTATTTGCGCCAAAAAATAGAAAACCTGTAGTTTTCATCACTTTTATGGCATCTAGAATCAGACATGTTATGCTTAGTTCCATACATTTTTTTTTTTTACAAAACTATTGATGGATGTAACATGCAAAATGTGAGAAAGCTGCAGGGTAAGAACATGTTTTCATGGCTTTTGTCAGGTAGAGTAAGGTTTATGCTACGCCATATTCTTACTTAAAAAAGAATATATATTCTTCTTAATTGTACATGTAGGTTGTCTTCAAAAGGCAAATGTAGCTTTGGTTTCCTTTTAATATACACTTGGTTAATATTTTCCCTCTTTTATTTCCTGTTATGTTGAATCTCTCCATATAAGTGATGCCACAACATGTTTGACCAACAGTTAACGTTAGTTTACTCTCTGTTGTAAAAAACAAATAAGCCGCCTGTGTGAACTGTTTGATGTCACTTCTCAGCTGCGAGGAAATAAATCTGCACATGCAACAGCTGTCTGCTCCATTTGACTGGAAATCATTGCCATACAAAGGCGACTCGTTTGCAGAAGTAGATTCAGAATGAATGGAAACAATAAACTTTCCATTTGCTGTTGATTATCCAAATGTTAAACATTAAACCAAAGAGCGTTGTTTTGTTTTGTTGTAGATTTTAATTTCCATATGTGACTTAATCCTTTTCTGCTTTTTCATGTGTGAACATGAGAAGCTTCTGTGAAATGATTAATGATTCTGATTAATGTTCTCCTCTTTCTCATTAAAACTAACGATCCATCTGGTGTTCTCCAGGTTTAACATGGACATCAGACACATCAAAATCACCTCCTGTGAGGGCCTGTACCGCATCAATGACAAGAAGGCATTTAGAGGTTTAATTGTGAGTTTTAAGCAGGAGAGCCGTTCCTATGCTTGGGATTTCCAACATGCATGATGTTGAAAATACCAAAATGCATGATGTCTCTTTTTATTAACTATTTTATACACTATTCAGCTTTTCTTTTTACCATCTTTATTAGGAAATGGTTGAGTTCTACCAGAAGAATTCTCTGAAAGAATACTTCAAGGACGTGGACACAACGCTGCGCATCCCTTATAAGCAGCCGGAGCAAAGCAATTCATCTAACAACACAGCAAACACAGTCGCAGGTACAGAAGCCTTCCTGTGATCGCAATAAAGTGCAGGCAGGTATTTTCAGGAACTATTCATGTTTACAGTTTTATGCTAATTCGACGAAGAGAGCAAAGACCACAGCTGTCAAATTCTGTCAAAATTAGATGTTTTCAGTCCATTTCCAGTTAATTACATTTAAATAGACTTTGCTTTACAATCTTACAATGAGTTGGTTTTTTAAGTATTAAACTTAAAAAGTGCTAAACTTAAAAAATAATGTTATGGTTGCTAATCTAAATTGGTATGTTTTGGATTAGAGATTATCCAAAGGTGGACTGATTCCAGTTATAAGAAAAAAACTCAGAAAGCTATACCTGTGTTTCTCATCTTTGGAATATATTTGCTTAATGAATAAAAGTGAATGCAACATTGCATTACAGTTTTGCAGCCTTAATAGGTATGGATGCAATTTATTGTTTGTTCAAATCCTTGTAATAAACTAGCCATATAAAGTTTTCCTTTTGGTTGTTATACACACCTCTATGTACAGATAATCCATACTTGAGTTTCACATTTACAATATTATTTGTTTAAATAAATCAACATATTAGAGTTTAGTAGAATGAAAGAACAATATTTCTTAGTCCCAAAGTTCAACATTTTAGGTGTTTTAAACTTTTTTATTTTTCATTTTAATGTATTTTAAAGCATCCTGACACTAAATGGTGAGCTCTGTCTCCAGGAGGCAGCATAAGGAGCTTTGGCTTAGCGAGGGCCAGATATGACTTCTCAGCCAGGGACCGCTCTGAGCTGTCCCTGCGAGAGGGGGACACCATAAAGATCCTCTCCAAGAAGGGCCACAGCGGCTGGTGGAAGGGAGAAGTCTATGGCCGGGTGAGATTAACAGGATATCCACACATGACAGAAAAAGTCCTAAGACATTTAGTTTTACCTGTGTTTTCCTCTTCTTGCAGGTGGGGTTATTTCCATCCAACTATGTGGAGGAGGATTACTCTGATTACTGCTGACTTCCACCTATATGAGATGTGTCAACCCGATCTGAATGTGAAAGGATCTTTGTGAGCGACTGCATTAAGGCCTCTGCATGAGTGTGATGTTGTGTGAGTGAAAGGAAATGTAGTTCTGCTGCTGGGTGTCAAGTGATGTGAATAAAAACTTTGTTCAGCTGGCCTGACCTGTCTTATTCATTACGTTTAAATTTTGTACAACCCTACCTTGACAATCAATGTATACAGGTTTTAACAAATGTTATTTAGCATCACTAGAGTATTAAGGGATATATATTATGTAATAGTAGCTTTAGGTATTTGGTTGTAGGTCGGTTATGGGTGGAATACAAGTTTTAAAGTTCATAGCACTTTGCAAAATGTTTCACTCTCCTTGATGCTTTACACATTGCTATTACATCTAAAAGCTGTCATGTAGTTACAGACCAACCCTAAGTATAAACCATTAGGTACATTTCCATTTTTTATATAATTGAAAATTGGCAAAAAAGAAAAAAAAAACTGGTTCTCTTCACCTCACTTCATGAGGTTGAGGTTTACACCCACTGATCTCTATTCGCTGGATTGCTGATTGTCTGCAATGCTGCTACTCCCCACTCCCACGGAAACACGCAGTAAAAATGCCTACATCTGTAGCATTTGGCTGCAAAAACGCACAGTTTGTCGGCTGTGGGAAGACGTACCACAGGTAGTTTCACAGTCAGTGGTTGTACTAACCAATAAAATCAACATACACGCCAATATATCCTATAGTATAGTATATAAGGTAACATTAGTCTGGCTATCTTGGACTGACTCGAAGATAATGACTAAATTAGATATTGACATTGTGTCTAACGTAAGAAAATAGAAAGTAGTTCACTGTGAAATGTCAATTAAGTAATTCTTTTTGTAGTGTTTGTTGTACTTCTCAAAAAAGTCATGTGCTGAAATATATTGCATTTTATATTGACAGGGGAAAAAAAGCTACTCAAACATTTCACCCCTATATATGTGTGTGTGTGTATATATATATATATATACACATATATATATATATATATATATATATATATATATATATACACACACACATCATGCATTATCAGACATGTAAGAAGTAAATAAATGTATATTACATGTACATCATCAATTTAGGACAAGTGTATGGATGTTTCTCATGAAAAACTGAAAGCAGGAAAGAATGTGAGAAAATGTGAGAAAAATGACAAAGGAAAAAATAAATCTCTGGGCTGGATGGAAGGATGAACACAAAGGAAAAACCAAGAAAACAAAGAACCTGGATGAAATAAAAGAAATACAGTTGTAAAGTGCTGTTTAGCAAATTGATGGTAATAGCAGCTTTATTTCATAACAGTAATAACCTGTAGCACACCTTTGACATCCATCTTTAATGGAGATCAAGCCTCATACTTTCAAAATGTTTTTGTTGAAACTACAACCTATAATAGACTTGAATTTTTCGATTATTCTGCTGCTCTATGATGGCATGATGCAACACCAACTGTGTAATTTGGTTTATGTTATCTGCTTACCACAATATTAGATCCTGAAGTTGTGTTGAGTCAGCAGTGTCGTAGAGCAATACTTCACAGCAATATTTTGCATTTTGACAAATGTAAATAAAGTCAACTTTAGATTCTGCAGTAAGAAAAATCTGTACTTGATTAACTTACATTAGAAGAACTTACATGCAGATCTTAAATCACAGTAATATATATATCAGTCTGTGAAATCTTGGATGACGTAAGCCTGGACATGGTTTGGAATCAGACGCAGTTTCATCTCTGAACAGTTTTAAAACCTTATCTAGAGTTAAGCTAAAATAAACTGTGAGGCCGACCTTTATATTTAAATTAGTATTTTCCATTGAACATTTAAATCAAACAACTAAAACATCTAAAAATATATATTTGTTTGAGTTAAAAACAAAGATAACTAAATATAAACCAACATTAGAGCAGTTATTTAGAAAGTGAATGTCCTTCTCCTTTATACTGTTGATTAATACAAAGTAATACAGAAGAACCCTGTTGATTAAGACCTCTATTTGTTTAACTTTGCATTTTTGAACACTTAGAAAAAGTTAAAGCCATATTTTCCTTTACCATTAATTTTCATCATTGAAATGAAATGTTAATTTAAATAAAAGAAACACTGGATTAGGAAGAGTGACACAAACATTTCAATTCAAGCATTTTTTGTTGAGTATAAACCACATTTATTTACAAAATATCAAAACAAATGAAACGTGATGGGAACAACATATCTTTCACTGAAGGGATTACACTCAGACATATAGGACATTGTGTTTTCCCGTTGTAGATGGCGCCCCCTTTCAGCTGCATTGTGTACAAGCATGTGGTCCTCATCCTTCACATCTACTGGTAATACAACTCCAGGTTCATTCCATCGTGGATTTCATCTGAAGAAGCAGCAGTTAAGAAAAACAGTCCCATTGTAACTGCACAAGTATAAAATACCTATCGATATATATAGGGCCCATCTCAAACATTTTTGATTTTTGGCTTTTAATGGTTCATAGAAAAAAAAAATATTCAGAAAAACATAGACTAATTAACACAAAATGCTGTTTTCAAATGCTGACTGTATTTAATAAGGGAAGAGGGCAATTTAAACCAACTAGGGCTAATGTAAAAAATATATTGCTCTTTGAACCCACCCAATCTAGATTTTAATTAAAAGCATTCATTTATAAAATAAACTCCAAAACCTTCATTTCAATATTTAACCAGCACCTTTCCAATAGCGAATTATCTACAGTTAATTAAAGTCTGTTTCACATTACCAGATTATTGTGCTGATTTTCCCTTAATCATTCCCTTCTAAGAAGCCTCAATTGTTGGGAAGCCTCTAATGATAATCTTACGAGATAATCCTGCCATGCGTGAGGTGTTAAGAGTGTTCAGGTCTGGTAAGGTGGAGAGACATTAAGACCATTTCTGTTTTATCCACCTTCTAGCACAGGACCTTCCTTAACCCTGGTCCTCAGGTCCCACTGTCTTTAATATTTAAGAGGTTTCAAATGATCGCATTACCTCCTTAGCAGCCATCAATACTGCAAAAAGCCTGTTGATCACCTTTTCATTCAGTTCAGGTGAGCGGAGGCAGGGAAACACTTATAACATGAAGAGCAGTGGGCCCTGATGATAATTTTTTTTTTTTTTTTTTTAAATGGTAGGATAGAAATGGCTAGGATATCTGGCCAGAACAATCCAACATATTCGGATTCAATTTTGATCAACATGGTCCCCACAGTTGTTTGAATCTGTTAATAAGGTAAAATGGTTGTCTAATCAGCTACTAACAGCCAAAAACAGTTAAAGGATACAGTCTCCAAGAGTCACATGGTCCTTGAATATGGTATACCTTTAAAAAGAAAAATAAATTATTTTTTTTTTTTTTTCTTGCAGCAAACATGAGACGAAGTAAGATGAAGTGTTTCGAGTGGGTAGCTTACCATTTTTTCAAAACAATCTTGTCATACCGTGTTCCTGTCTGAGCCGCAATTAGCTTCTTCAGATCTCCGATGGTGTCCTCTGAGCTGAGTATGGGAATTAAGGAGCAGCACAGAAGCACTTCTACACAAGATGCTTCTATGAGCCAACAAAACCCTGATATACAGATCCAAGTTTGATTAGGTTAAATTATTCATTCTAAAAAAAAAATATATATATATATCAATGCTAGGAACTGATTATGATCTAAAAAATGAAGTCTTATTGGTTCAATGATTGAAAGCTATGATGAAGTGTTTAATGTCTCAGGCATATTTTTGGTGCTACAAATTTCAATTCAACTTTAACAAGTTAGACTGGTGAAAACAACATTATGTAAAATTAATCTATTATGAATCTTCTTTTAACATCCAATATAGGGCTTCAAGATAAATTAAAATTAGTGATAGTATCAATAGGTGTTAAAAATTAAATTCCAAACCTTTTCTCAAATCGAGTATTCCAGTGTTCCCGTCACCCTCTCTAATGCTCAAACTTTTGGGCACCTTATGAGAAATTTAACAAAGATAAATACATCATCAAGCCTGGTGCAACTTTAAAACGTGTTTTGGGTTCATTCAAATAGCACTGAAGTAATAATACAATTACATTAACCTACACCTCTGACAAAAGGTTCCTAAATGAAGATTCATTTACAGTATTTAGACCAAGTGAAACTAAAACATTTTCACTTAAGGAGTTCTTAATAGAACATAATAATGGATGAAATGTTTTTTTTTATCTTAAATGTAATATGTTTATATAATTTATACAGTTTTATAATTTCTGCTTTTAGTGAGTTGCTCTGTCAGCTAAAGCCATGTTTTGGATCTCTTTACTCCATTTAATGATCAATAGATTAATGAATTATTTGACGTTTATTTAAATCAATTAATCACAATTAATCCAATTAATTGTTTCAATCCTAGTTGTATTCACATGTATTTGCATTTAGTTTAGTGTTTTCTTGAAAAAGAATGATCTCCAAGTAGTTTAGAGCTCTATATGTCAAACTTGACTTGAATAACATTAGGCTTAATTATCGTTATTCTTAACTTGGCTTAAGTATCGTTATTCTTAACTTGTTTTAAACCAAAATTGAAGAGACAAACCTCCAGTCTAAGTTTAAATGGGTCTTCTTTATGATATACAAACAATTTTGCATCAGAAGCAACTGAATGTCAGGTGACTAAAGAACAAACAGTAGATATTGTTGCTAGAAGTAATTTATACTGTTATAACAAGCATACATCACTGTCATTATATATTTTTTCCGTAAAAGTTTAAAAACAATCCACTGGACTTTCCCAGGTTTGAAGACGTTTCGCTTCCCCTCCAGGAAGCTTTCTCAATTCAAAATGTCTGGATTCACATGAGTTTGAGGCTTTATATAGAAAAGGCCTTGTATTGCTTGGAAACATGCCAATTGAAACTGATGAGCGGGTCGTTTGCTCATTATATATTATGCATTCACTGTCTCTATTATTTTTTAGTACAAGTACTACCAAATCAGTGCTTCTGTTTGTTTTTTCTTCTTTCCCTTGTTGATGTTTTAAAAGTGAGAAGTCCCTATCAAATATCACCACTTATTCAAGAAGACATGCTACTATAATGTTAGTGATTTTATGCTGGGTAACCATACACAGAAAACATGTCACTTACTACCAATACGAGGCTAATATTGGCCAGAAGGTATGCATGAATTAAATTCATAGAATTAAATTGGTGTGATGATGCATCTCTCAATATTAACTGCAATCAGTTACCTGGTCAAATGTATTGAAATGGTAATCTATTGTTCATAGGCCCTCCAAAAATACACAAACTAACAATGGGGGCTGGAAAATATAAACAATAATGTCGCGCAGAGTGAGAAAAACAGATGGACATCCTATAACATCATAAACAAATAATTTCTGACTGAGGCAGACAAAAAATATAACTTGCATTTTAATTCACGCTTACAATGCGCTGCCATAGAAGGATACTTGCATTTAACTCGGACTTTCTTGCCAAGTCGATCGTTGCAAACCACCTCGATCATTTTTCGCCTCTGTCAAATGAAGAATTGGTGACTTAGTTAGGCCAACGTTTAACACAAAGTAATTTCATTACACACTTGAGGCTAAATAAAACATAGATTTTTCCGGAAAATCTCTAAATAAAACACAGAAACTGTGTAAGTTAGCTCACAGGCTAACAACAGCGACACTAAATCTATTAACGAACAGCATTCCATAATAACAAAATAAACACCCAATGTATGATATACTAACCAAAATCACTTAAGCACATGTTTATTAATTTGAGAGTTAAGTAATTCAAACATACCTTGAAAGTTGCAAAAGAATGAAAAATATTCCTCCGTAGCTGGTATTTTCTGGAACGCTCCCGTCAGGCTTTTGCCGTAAAGCAGATTTAATGACGTTTTCACCTCTGGACCAATGAAATCAAGTAACATTTTTATTGACAGAGATAACTAACCAATGAAAAGAAAGGAAGCCAAACCTAGGGCGGGACATGTACTGAAAACAACGTGTGTCGAAAACAAGTTGCCAACTGTCGTTTTCTGCGCTGAAACTCCTGCCTTGCGTCTCTGCAACATTGAATTCAAATTTGAAAACGTAGCTAAAACAAACATGGCAGACGAAGAGAATTTACCGTCCGGATGGGAGAAAAGAATGAGCCGTAGTTCAGGTAATAAACCATAATCTGAAGTTAAACTACATAGCCAAAAGCCTTAGAGCTTGTATGCAAGTAGGCTTGGGTAGTTAGCTAGCTGCATGTGCATCGTGGTGCATTCATTAATCAAATTAGAAAAAACCCTTTATTCCACAATGATTAGCTAAAAAGCATAGTGGAAATGTCAACCACCAGTTAAGTTTTTAATATAGATAGAACTGAACTCTTGGGATGTTTTGTGTTTTAGAAGCTAATTCATTCAGGTCTAGTGCTGCAGGGCCACGCATGACGTCATTCCGTTCAGGGGCTCACGTTTAAGCGCCAGAGACCCAAATTAAATAATCAAACATAAGAAAAATAAGAAAGGGATACCTGGTAGGAAAGTTTCACGATGCCTTGTCCTTACTTTTGTGTGGTATTTTTTTATTTTCGATTGTCCCGAGATCAAACCAAAGTATATAGATGACCACTTCTTGCTATGAATAAATCATAGAAACACATCATAGATGGTTTTCTTTCTGTGTCAGATCGAAATTCTAAACATATCAAAGGTGCAATGTAACCAGAATTCTGTTATTGGTAGGTGACTGAAATCGGATTACTTAGAGAAAGACAGTCATTGCAGGTGTGAAAGGTCAAGCTAAAATGCAGGTTTTAATCTGCCAGTAAGGACAGATGTTTATGAAATGGGCTCTTCTTTTTTCTGACTAAATTAGTTGACAATTATTTTAATAATTTACTAATCCGATTTTATTTTTGGCACTAAATTTGACAAATTAAAAAAAATGTTGGATATTGGTTGATCTCCAGTTTAAGTTACCGATAAAAATGACTGAAAAACTATATCTTTATGACTGTGTTTACTCTTCCAGGCAAAGTGTATTACTTTAATCACATCACCAATGCCAGCCAGTGGGAACGCCCAGTGGGAGACGGCCGTGGAGAACCAGAAAAGGTTGAGCTGAAATCATTTTAATTCTCACTATATGAATTTTAATTAAAAATTTAAGTAAAAAAAACATCAAATATATATCTAATTTGGTGACAACCCAATAGGACTGATGATAAATATATTACAACCTTAATGATTCTACTGTTTTAGGCAAGTGCTCATTTGTGATTTTACTCATTGCTCTTGTTGTTCTGTGCCTCTTATTGAGTGGCCTCCAATTGTCTCACTGTGCTCAGCCTTGCTGTTTTTAAAATGCTCTACAAAGAAGGGATTTGGTATGAAGCAGGCATGTGTTACGAATGCATGGATGAAAGTATTGCGGCCCTAGGCTGGATTTCCGGCTCGTGGCGATTGCCCATGGGTAAAAAAAAATTCACTCATATATAAATTGACGGTACATACATTTTAAAAAGACAATCGAAAACCCCCTTGCGTTTGTCAGCCAATGGTACCAGAGGAGCTCTCTGAAACTAACAGTATTAGCCAATCAGAAGAAGAAGGGGGTGGGTCTTAGAAAGACGTGTACCTCCTCCTCTCGTTTCTTCCTCAAGTCACTAGATAGATTGTTACAGTGCTGAAGTTCTACATGGAAAGTCACCTTGCGGCGTTTATGCCTCCATTCAATGGAGATACGTGTTAAAAGTCAAAAAATAAATAAATGAAACTTTGTGTTTGGAGAGAAGAATGATAGAGAGAATGGAATTGCATGGAGTGGGCACAATGCAGTTCATGAACTGCGGCAGGTTGTGCTCCAGGAAGCTTATTTACGCATCCAGCGGCAAAAAGGTGCTACGCGAACTGAATTAGACCCTGGTCATCAAGCTGCTGTTCCACGCACACTCCACGTTTCCCGGGAGCTATGGCAACAGCTGATGTACCAGCGTCAATAACTGACCGTGTATGCGAGTTAAAAATAAGGTTTTGTGCTTTCCTCGCCGAACACGACCTCTCTTTCAGACTAGATATAAATGCACTTTTGCCATCTTCTGGCCGTTTTTGGTAAGGGATTTTTTAAAGTCAAATTTAGTCTCTGATCCCATGCCCCCACACTCTCCTGGCATGGCTTGAAAATAAACGCACATATATGAGTTTCTTGGCTGTGTTGGAAAAAGTTCAGGTTCAGGAATTTTTTTTTCTTTAATCCCTGGGAATGTATGTGCATCCTTACAGAAAATAATCACTAGAGGCCTGTCAGCTGAGAGATGTAATGTTGCATGTTCTGAAGTAGTGACACTATGACAGAACAGAAAAGACGCCCAGCTATCCCTAAACTCCGCTACTTGAGTGGATTAAGAAAGTAGGAAAGAACTAAAACTTTCCTCAGTCCATATTCTGCAGATTGTACCTTCTAGTATGTGCTCCTAGCTCCTCTTCCTTCACCTTTTGTTGCTTTAACAGTTAAAAATGCTATCATTAAGATGTGTCAAATCAGGTTAGCCTTATGGTTGTCATTACCAGATTGAAACGCACATGGAAGATGTTGGTCAAATTGAGACTAAAGCTCTCTAAAAAAAGAACTGCAAAAAATGTTTATTTTTGTTGCTAAACTATGTTTATTGAGGCTCTGCCTATACATCGTGTCATGTAGATAATCGTGGCAATCCGTAAAGCTCCTAAGCAGCGATGAAAATCTATGGAGGTCCCTGCTGAATGAACGACTGAGAGGAAACAGCCTGCTTCCTTGTCCTGTTTCCTTCTTACTGCCAACACCATTCGAACAACAGGCTTAAGAGTCCATACCAATTTGATAAATTTAGATAGACTCCCTTATGTCTTTATTCCTTCAACCTGATAAATTATGTACATACAGTACATTAAATACAAAATATACAAAATAATAATTTGAATTCAATATAAAAAACAGCTCATAAGTATCAACATAATTTAAAGGGAATGTAGCCGTGCTTTATTCTCTTATTTGGGCACAATATGATCTATGAAAATCTAAACATTACATTGACTGAAGTTTTTTTTCCCTGTGTAATTTGACTATAAACAAGCATTGGCTATATCTGCTTATACTTTTTTTATTTAATGAAAAAGCTAATCCTACTGAATCTCCCATCGTTTCTGTTTTATCCACCTTCTCCTATTTTAGAACATTATGAAACTAAATGAATTTGTCGGCTTGATACTAAAACAGATTTTATTTTATTTTTTTTAATGACATGTCACACTGATGTGACGTTTTGTCTTGAGATTTTCTTTCCCAATTGTAGAGTAATGAGAAGTTTTAATGTTGTCAACCAGCAGCATGTAGTGATAGCAGGGAGTTCTCCCTCTCTGTTGTTCTGGGGTCCCTTTTTAAATTTGTTTTACAGAATGCTGAAAACTAGAATAGAAAATCCCTTTGTTGTCCCACATTGGGGAAATTTTGGTGTTAGAGCAACAACTAGGGCTACAACTAATGATTATTTCGATAATAGATTAATCTGTCAATCATTTTTTTGATTAATCGATTAATAACCGGACAGCCAAATGTTCCTTAAAGAAGATTTTATACAGATTTTCATCCAGTCTCCTGGATGCACCAGTCCTCTACAGCCTCCATGCAATATCACTCTGAGCTGCAGTTCTATGAACTCACTCTGGTGAAACTCCAATATTTCAACTTGAGGAGTTCTGGATAGAGAATATTGACAGGATAAAAATAGAAGCATAGGATAAAGTGGGTCGCTCTGTCAGCTAAAGCTGTTTTAGAGTCTCTATACTCCAGTTAACGATTAATCGCTTGCTGGATTAGTTGACAATTATTTCAATAATCGATTAATCACGATTAATCTGATTAATTGTTTCAAGCCAGTTTTCAAACACAATATTGTACGTTTTCAGTCTCTAATGTAAAAGGATGAAGGATACCAAACCAACAGAGCTGTGTTGTTTTTCAGTACTGGGACACACTTGCATACACTATTGGTAGTGCATCATTTGTCACTTCTACCAAATAGAACCCACTTAGAAGTGTTTTAATTAAAAAAAAATTGTTTGGTATGTTATGACCAACTTATTTGTTCATAACAGGATAAAAACACTCAGACGGAAGCCTGTATTGTATAATTCTACTCTGACTAGTCCTTAAAAGAAAGATTAATATTAGTAAATACAATTTCAACAGTTATATGTTTAGACCTCTGGTAGAAAATTGTGCTACTGTGCCTTTTATGCTCTCTTATCAATAACCATTCTAAAGTTTTTATTCTAGATTTATTTTTGGTCTATTCATGCGTTATGTCTTTTTTTTTCCCCATGCAGGTACGCTGCTCTCATCTGTTGGTGAAACATAATCAGTCACGTCGTCCGTCTTCCTGGCGAGAGCAAAATATCACACGTACCAAAGATGAAGCCTTGGACCTCATTCAGAGTAAGTAGGAATAATTAAACATGTAAAACATAATTTTTTTACATAAGAGATTAAAACAAAAAAAAGTAAACTATGGAATTCTGTTAATTATAACCTAGATTAGTGGTTTTTAATCATGTCCCACAGCGGCCATCAAGGGCTTCAGACATTTGTTATCTGATGCGGAGTGTTGGCAAAATGGTTAGAGCAGTGAGCTTCTGCTCTGAGAAGGTTTCAAGTACCAGCTTTGATCCCCTCAGCCTCCATTCTGGCTTCCTGAGCAAGAACCTTAACTACCGCAATGGAAGCCCACTGCTCTCCAAGGGGATGGGTTAAAATGCAGAGAGTGACTTTCCCCATCGTGGGACAATAGCGGGATTTCCATTTGCACAATCACACTTTTATTCAAATTCGTATATGAAAGCGGGGAAAGCTTTAAATATGTGGGACAGAGCATCCCGAGAAACAGGATCGAAGATCACTGGCCTATAAAATCATGATGACTTGACACTAATCCAGCAGAAACCAATGGTACTCTGCATAAGTAGTCTGTCAAAAGAAGCTAATTTATAAGGAAGCGGGAAGTCCATGGAGTGCTTTTTCTAAATCCATTAATAGAGAGTCGAGTGGAAGGAAAAAGGCTGCAAGATAAGGTGTACAAGTGACCGAAGTAGCCACATCTTTGAGGAGACAGTGAAGCAAAGAATTAAAAGGTGATTTACAAGAAAATTTAAAAGACCTGGGCCTTTTAAACCCATTTGGACTCAGGAAAACTATACACAGACACAACCAGTTGTAGGCAAGAACTGTTGCATTGATTTTTATTAAGCAATTCAGGACAAAGAAACTGCATCAGAAGCTTCTTGGCTTTAAGGACAAAAAAGAACCAGATTTTTCCCCTGTAGTTTGACGTCCTATTTTCAGTTAAAGTAAAGTTTACAACTTATTTCGAAATAAGGCTCCCAGAGTCTAAAAGAACGAGTTGAGTAGCAAATAATCCAAATTGCTTGAAGTGCTGTGTAGGCCTTCATAGTGAACTCAGCCAGCTATCTGGGAATTTCAAATCCAAATATGCTTCCCTCTGTTCAGCTTTAACTTTAGGAAGTTGTTGATTTCATTGTCCCTCAGCTGCTCACACTAAAGCCTCTCTCCCACTGAAAATACCACGTTAACACGGGCTTAAAAAACATGGATAGACCTGCTAACACTTGGCTCACTTTTCCAGTTGCAAAAAAAGCTGGGTCTAACCCCTTGCTGGCAGCTGAGTGGCCTGTGTCCCCCCACAGCTGCATGTCTGGTGTCAGCGTCGCGCTGGTTTAGCATTACTGATGTCACCAGTGTGACAGAAATCAAAGAAGTAAACAATGGACAGCAACATGTAAGGAAGCCAGGGCATAATAAGTGTGCTTTATTGTTTTGCTCTTTTGTCTGTCCAAATCCCTCTTACTAGTGCTGCTCCATGTTTATCGAATGTCAACCGAGTTGTTTCGGTTTGTTAGATCTGACGTGGCTGACGCAGTGTGCAAACATCCATACGTTGTGTTCAGTGGTGTCACGTCATTTAGCGGGTCAAATGTTTTTACAGCATGCCAATCAGAGCTGAGGAGGTTTTAACGTGGGTCATTTAACCTGGGTAGACACCCGTCAGGAGCTGTTCCTACTGCAACTAAAAGCTGATTTATTTATTTAATTTTTTTGAGTTAAACGGGTTTTTCGGCCAGTGAGAAAGGGGTTTAACACAAAAATCATTACCTCATTACCATGGTAACACTGATGAGTGACGAGTGAAGTCATCTGTCTGTCTGGCACCTGTCTGACACAAAGGAGCCCTGACCAATCATCGTGTAGGAATACTCCATGGGACATGGACATGTTTGGAAGCAGAAAATAATTTCTTTTCTTATGAAAATTTTGAATATTATTAGAAAATTACATTGTGTGTTTTAGCCAGAATCATTAAATTTAGAAGCAAGAAATACACATTTTGGAATGAATAAAAACATTTGGAATCATTTTATTTATTTGGATGCTTTTACATGTGTTGTCCCCTGTTTTCCACTCAGAGTACATCGAACAGATCAAGTCTGGAGAGGAGAAATTTGAAAGCTTAGCCTCTCAGTTCAGTGACTGCAGCTCAGCGAAAAACGGTGG